AGGAATCGATAAGATATCTGGAAGAACCCTAAATATTGAGAAGTTAAGAGTGGAACTAAAATACTAGACAAAATACATGTAAGATATGAGGGAATATCAGTGCCCTGGCCGGTGTGGCTCAGTGGTTAGGGCGTCGGGCCGCAGACTGAAGGGTCCTGCGTTCAGTTCTGACCGAGGGCACGTACCTCAGTTGCAGGCTCAATCCCGGCCCTGACTGGGGTGCATGTGGGAGCAACCAATCAATGTGCCTCTCTTGCATCGATGTTTCTCTCTCTGTTCCCCCCCACCCCCTTGCACTATCTCTGAAAAGCAATGGAAAAATATCCCCGGGTGAGGGTTTAAAAAGAAAGATCTGAGGGAATATCAGCGTTAAAATGCTTTAAGGTAGTGTTTGGGGAGGATGGTAAAGCTGAGCCAAGTTCAAGTAGAAAGGATACCATACTGTATAGGGTGTGACTTCCAGAAAGATCAAACAGGAGATAAGGCAGGGGGAAGAGCATAGAAAAAGCAGGATAAACATTATAAAATAGTAGAAATACATTCAAGCATAGTAGAAATTATTTCAAACCACAATACTTAACAAGGAAGCTTGCCAAATTGGCTTTAAAAGAAAATAAAATGCTATGTACACGATTCTGGCAATATGACAAATTATCTTGAAAATTTTGAAATGCTACTTACAATACTGAACAGAAAATCTAAATCCATGAACTTACAAGAAAAGGTATCTTTAGAGACAAAAAAAAATTAAAAATCTTAATCTATTTTCTATTTTGATGACGTGGGAGACAGAAGACCAACCCATGAGCCTAATGCCTTTGAGTTTGTTAGGGAAGCTTGGACTGCACTCAGGATAGGGTGTAATGGAAATAAAGCCAAGCCCAAAAGCCCAGAACTTCCTTGATGCGAGCACCTGCAAGAAAATGCATCAGGCTTACAGGCGAAATGTTGAAATCTGCGCCTGCTTCACTCTTCCTCAACATTCAGTCCTGGAAGCCCTAGCCAGTCAGGCGATAAAAAGAAACAGTTTAAGAATCTAGAAAGGCCCAGCCGGGCGTGGCTCAGCAGTTGAGCATCGACCTAGGATCCAGGCGATCACAGTTCGATTCCCGGTCAGGGCACATGCCCGGGTTGCGGGCTGGATCGCCAGTCGGGGGCGTGAAGGAGGCAGCCGATCAATGACTCTCTCATCATTGTGTTTCTATCTCTCCCCCTCTCCCTTCGTCTCTCTGAAATCAATAAAGATATATTTTAAAAGAAAAAAAAAAAGAATCTAGAAAGGAAAAATAAAACTGAGAAATGGCATTTGTGTATGTACATAAAAATCCAAAGTAATCTATAAATGTGATGTATATTCAAGGTTATAGAATACAGGTCAATATATAAAAGTGGGTGTGGGTAGGTGTGGGTGACAAAAAAGAAATTGAAATGAAAATAGTACCATTTACAACTGCATATCAAAACATCAAATACCAAGAAATAAATATAATGAAAGATTCACACAAAGTATTGAAAGCTACAAATATTGAAAGATCTAAAAAGAGTAATATTTTCATGGATGGAAGACTCAACATTACACAGATATACTGACCTGTAGTTTCACTTCAAATGCCAATCAAAATGATGACTCTCATCATTTGTGTTTCTGTCTCTCCCTCTCCCTTCCTCTCTCTGAAATAAAAACTTTTTTTTTTTTAAATCCCAGGAAGTTGTGGAGTGGAGTGGGCAAGCCTAAAATTTACATAGGAATGCAGAGGTAAAAATATGGCTATTTCGATCCTGAGGACCAGCAAACCTTGATACCAACACTTACCCTAAAGCTACAGTAATCAGGAGAATGATGCTTATTGGTGCCAGGAAAGATGAATAAATAATAAAGAGATGAAGTCCAGGAACCTACCCACAGACAGAAACATGCGGGGCAATAGGGGAAAGGTGGGCTTTTCAATAACAGTATTGTGTCAACTGGACACTGGTACAGAAAAAAAAATCTTGACCACCTACCTCCTATCTGACATAATCACTTCAGGTACACTGGAGAGCTGTATGCTAAAGGTAAACTCTAAAGGCTTTTAAAAGAAAGTACAGAAGAGAATGTCTTAACCTCAGGACACACAAAGATTTCTTAAATAGAACCAAAAAAAGGGGAGGGATTAATTTGGACTATATAAAAGAAAGGCATGCCACAGACCTGGGAAGATATTATAATTCATACAGTTTTCTGCTTTAAAGGAAAAACTATTAAGGTATAATTATTACTATACTAATATATCATTATGTATTATATGATATATAATTATAATTCTCATCATAAAGCCAAGATGAGTCTAAACCAGGGATTTTCAACCGGTGTGCTGCAAGAATTTTTAAAACACAATAACTGACTAGTCGGGGCACTGACCTCTTTTTTCTTAGATTGTCAAATAAAAAACTGACAACAGCCAGCCCTGCCCGGTGTAGCTCAGTAGGTTGGGCATCACCCTGAGCGCCAAAAGGTGGTTGTTTCAATTCCTGGTCAGGGCACATGCCCAGGTCACAGGCTGAACCACAGCAGGGGGCCCGCAGGAGGCAGCCAATCGGTGTTTCTCTCCCTCTCCCTTCCTATCTAAAAATCAATTTAAAATTTGGGGGGAGAAAAAAATGACAGCAGCCAACACAATTGCCGTCTGATGTGAATAAATCAAAATTATACCTATTTTTTTTTGTCAGATCAGCAAAAAATGTGTTTTTGGTGTGCTACAGAATTTTAGTAATTAGTTTACATGTATCGTGAGATGAAAGGTTGAAAACCACTGGCCTAAACATCTAAGGAAGCCCTGGCTGGTGTGGCTCAGTTGCTTGGAGCGTCATCCCATATACCCAAAGGTCTCGGGTTCGATTCCTGGACAGGGCACATACCCAGGCTGCAGGTTTGATCCCTGGCTGGGGTGTGTACAGGAGGCAACCAATGGATGTTTTGCTCTCACATCAATGTTTCTCTCTCTCTCTCTCTCTCTCTCTCTCTCCCTTCCTCTCTCTCCAAAAAACTCAATAAAAACATGTCCTTGGGTGAGGATTAAATTAAATAAAGTTGTTAGTTTTAAAAAATATAAAAAATAAACATCTCGGGAAGAAATAATGCCAATGTTACTCTCAGAAAATAAATTCATTTTTTACGAAGGCCGCATAGCCCTGATATTAAAACAAGACAAGGACATTGCAAGAAAATTAAATTATAGAGCACCGCCCCTTTTGTGGACATAGATGCCCAATGTCAGCAAACTGAACACCATGTATAAAAAGGGCCAAATGGGCCTTATCCCAGTAATGCCAGGTTGGCTTAACATCCCAGAAGCAATCTGTAATTCACATCAACGGACTAAAGAAGGAACACCGTATAATTATTTAAATACATGCAAATAAACTGGACAAAATTCAACACCCATTCCTAATAAAAACTCTGCCAACTAAAAATAGGAAGAACCTTCCTCAATCTGATAAAGGTCATCTAAGAAAAACAGCTAACATCTTAATGATGAAATACTGATGAAATAATGCTGAAATACTAAAGGCGTTCCCCTAAGATTAGGAGCACGACAACGAAGCTTGTTGCTGCCACTTGTAATCAGTATGGCACAGGGTGCTGGGCAATAATGCCAGTGGTAGATAGACTGGAAAAGAAGAGAAACTGTCCAGCTTCACTGGCAATAAAATTGTCTATAGAATCCTGAGGAATGTACAGAAAAGACCAAAGAATGATAAGTTCAGCAATAGCGCAACATAAAAGGTGAATATACAAAAGTCGGTTATATTTCTGTATGCTAACAATAAACAATTGGAAGATGAAATCTTTAAAATCTATACCATTTTTAATAGCACCCAAAAATATCCAATACCTAGGGATAAGTGTAAAAATGTGCGAGACCTCTACACGAAAAAGTACAAAATATTGCTGAGGGAAATGGAACACGGAGAGTGACATCGTGTTAGAGGATTGGAAGATGGAATTATCTGCAAATTGATGTCTAAATTCAGTATAATCAAAACCCCAGACTTTTATGAAAACTGACAATTCGTCTAAAATTTATATGAAAATGAAAAAGATCCTCACATCATAAATCCTAGCGCATCCCGATGGATGAAAAAATATTCACACCAACTAAAAGTATTTAGAATATAAGAATGTCTTTATGACTTCCAGGCAAAAATGGATTTTTTTAGGACACACTGCACAATTCTTAAATTTGATAAAATTCGATACGCAGAATTCCTTAAATTTAAGCCCCAAAAGACCAGAAAATACAAATCTGTAAGAAAATGACCGGTTAAAGGCTGTAGCAAAAACACAGTGTGTACAAGGAGATGCACAGAACGATTTCACTACCAAACACCAACAAACCGTAAGTAAAATGTGAGCAGTGTTTGCATCAGACCAAATGAAACCAAGGTTCACCGTTTTCACTAAGCGGGACACTTCACATTAGTCAAAAGACGATTCCCCACGAAGACCGCGGTCGCGAACGCGGACACGGAAGCCGACCCCCCTGCCTCTCCGGGAACCCACCTCAAGCCACCCAACAAAGGGACGCTGCGGGGGATCGAATAACCACGGCGCCGCCGGGTCAAAGGACACGGACCTCCCGGGAGACCCGACCCGCCAGCTCCCTCCCCATCCCCGCCACCCCCGGGCTCCTTCACCAGCACAGGGGGGAAACGCAAGTTTAGTTGTAAGATACTGACCGACTACCTACTTGGCTCCCGCACCGGCTGCAGGAAAGGGGCCTTCGCGCCGGGAGAGGGTCCCCCGCTCAAGCCGGAGGTCCTGGCCCGGGGAGCCCCTTTGCTGCGGGGCGCCGGGGACAGCGTCTCCAGACGAAGGATCCAGCTGGAAGTCACCACGCCCACTGGGAGACTAGAAGCTAGAGCCGACCCACCCCCAGGAGTATCCCCTTGGCCTCCCCGGGCACCCAGAAACCACACGGGACACACAGGAGCAGGCGACCATGGCCGACGTGATGAGCCTAGGCTGGCAGCAGCCCGCGCGCGCGCAGCTCCAGCAGCGGGGACAGCGTGTAGCGCAGGCGGCGCAAGGCGGCGTCGGAGCCGAGGCGCGG